AACTCAAAGAGTATGTAGGCTGGAAGGTATGTGCTGGGGTGAATGATGGACAGCGTCTTTGTGGGCTGGTGAGGCCAACAGAGAGCTTAGGTTTCTTTGCTCTGTGTTTTTGAAAGCTTTTTTTTTTTTTTTTTTAATTTTAGGATTTTGAAGGTGATAGGGTTCACGTGCACACAGGATCTGGATCTTTATCCCCAGGATAGGCATAAAATTTGACCGGGGCTTCCTGGGTGGGTGGGGCTAATTTTGGGGAAGGACTTTGAATAGCTGTCAGGTGTGATTATATTTTCATTCAGAAAGAACTTCTGGAAACCTTGTAAGAGCACCATCCCAGGATGGAAAGGAAGTGAATGTGAACACTATTCAGTGGCTGCTGGCCTTAGCCTGAGACTCAATTGCTGTTGAATTAGGAAAATAAGATGCATGTGCTCAAAACAACTAGAAGGCAGTACAAGATGGACATTTAGAGGCAATCTATACAGCCGAGTGGAATGTGAGTCAGACTAGGGAGTTAGTGCTGTTACCCAGAGTTTGTAAAATTGTTACTATGGAGATGCAAATACTGAACACTAACCTGGAATTATGGGAAGGCTTGGGGTCTGTTTTGCTTGTTAATTTTGCATTCATTTCTTCATGGCATATACTTTTAGAGAGGACCAGTCATATGCTTAGTGATTGCATGGATCAATGACAGCAATTGCAAGAACTGATTCTGTGAACATGCCAGTGCAGAGAACACTGTCGAGACAGGTTTGAACTGAGTAGTCAGTTCAACTTAGTAATTAAGATGGTCTGAGACTATTTTAATGTGAGAGACCTGAATGGTGGGTCTGGAGTAGATGTTTGTAAAGCTTGGGACTCTTTGAAATGGCCTTATTATTTTATCTATAATACATGTTAGGAGAAACTCCAGCTGTCCCCCAAACTCCAGCTGGTTCAGGTCCTCAAGAAAGCACAGTCAGATTTCAGCAGGGGGTTCAACTATCTGTTTAGTATTAGGTTTCCTAGTTCTGCAGTGGTATGAGGTGTGCACTGCCCTGAAACAAGCTTTGATAGAGTTCTTTCCCCTGCTGACTTCCAGTACCTGTAAGACCAAATCCAAACTCACCAGTGTGTCTGTTACTCAAGAAGTGATCCAGCTGCAACCTTTATTGGCTGTATTTCTCACCAGTCCCACTTGTTGCCATGCCCCTTAGCAGCATATCCGTTTGCTCTGTCCTTAGCACAATCCTACATGTTCCTGGCTCACATTTTGCCCTGTACTGTACTGTCTGCTATTGTCTGTTTTCTTTCCCTCTTTCTTTAATTCTTTTCATGGTGTAGCTAAGTGTGGTATGTGCATATATTTGCATGAGGGCAAGTGTGTGTGTGTGTGTGCACATGCGCGCGCGCACCTATGCATGCATGCATGTATGCCTGCCTTCATGCAACTGTGTGTACCTGTGTGTGGAATGAGATTGCTGTCATTGGTCTCCATAGCCAGTTCACTTCTGGGAACCTCGTCTCCACCTCCCGAGGCTGGAATTACAAGCAAGCCACATTGCACTTGAGTTGGTTCTGGAAATCTTAATTCAGATCCTCTTGTGTATGGGGCAGGCATGTTAACCATCATCCTAGTGCTCCGTCTCTAGAGGGTCTTCCTTCTTTCTTAATAGTTGCTCAAAATCCCAGCAAGAGCCTGTGCTCTGGTAGCTCTCCTGCACTGGTGCTGAAGCTCCCTTGCATACCAGTGCTGCAGCCCTCCTGCACTGGTGCATTAGCTCTCCTGAACACTGGTGCTGCAGCTCTCCTGCACACTGGTGCTATATCTCTCCTGCACTGGTGCATTAGCTCCCCTGCACACTGGTGCTGCAGCTCTCCTGCACTGGTGCTGCAGCTCTCCTGCACACTGGTTCTATATCTCTTCTGCACTGGTGAATTAGCTCCCCTGCACACTGGTGCTATAGCTCTCCTGCACTGGTGCTGCAGCTCTCTTGCACTGGTGCTATAGCTCTCCTGCACATTGGTGCTATAGCTCTCCTGCACTGGTGCTATAGTTCTCCTGCACTGGTGCTGCAGCTCCCCTGCACTGGTGCTGCAGCTCTCCTGCATTGGTGCTGCAGCTCTCCTGCACACTGGTGCTGCAGTTCTCCTGCACTGGTGCTGCAGCTCTCCTGCATTGGTGCTGCAGCTCTCCTGCACACTGGTGCTACAGCTCTCCTGCACACTGGTGCTTCAGCTCTCCTGCACTTGGTGCTGTAGATTTCTTTAGAGTTACTTTTCAGATCTCTGATCAAGAGTGTGATCTTCAGGGAATGGATAGTTTCGTTGTGTCTTTAGACACATGGATCTTTAGAGGAATTGTTGAATTGGATTTTCATTTTTTTTTGATCTCTTAGTACTGCCTCTAAATAATTATTGACTCATGCAGTTAAGTATACGAAAATCTGAAGCCAATCATTTTTAAATGGGAGACGCTTTCTTCATAATAATTTTCTACCTATGTCATACCCTATCCATTCATCCGTAGTTTGTGTTTCATCTAGCTTCATCTCCTCACAATGTCTGCCTGCTCTAGCTGGAGGTCCAGATGAATTGCTAAGAGCCATCAGAGGAAGTCTTTGCCTTATCTTACATCCAGTATGGGCACATTTGCCTGAGGGTTGTAGTTACTGGGAGAATTAAAACATCGTATTGGTGATTCCTGCCTAAGGGAATAAGCCTTGGGCATTGCTGTCCTTAGGGGGTGGGAAATGACTTCCAGTGTGTTTGGAACTGGAGTGTAGACTGAGAGAAACCTACTGGACTCTCCCTGCCCTTAGCGGGGCCATGTCCTCAGGCATCTTGGTGCCTTAGGGTTCTACACTGCTTTCTGCCGCTGATGAGAGAGGAATCAATGGATGGTGGTTACTTGAGAAAACTTCTGCCTCTTTTTTTTGAAATAGGGTTTCTCTATATACTTCTGGCTGTCCTGGAACTCACTATGTAGGAAAGCTAGCTTTGAACTGGTGATCTTCCTGCCTCAGTTTCCCAAATGCTGGGATCACTGGCGTATACCACCACAGTTGTCTTAAAAGTGACAATTTATAAAATAAAAGGTTTCAGGCATAGAGTCATATTAGTATACTGGAGACAAAGACTTCAGTAAGAAAGAAAAGAAAAGAAAGGCAAGTGTCATGTGTTCCAACTACGTCCTCTGTTCTCCAGCCAAGGAAGGTACTCAGTCTTGTTGGCAGCCTGAGTGGCAGCTGTTTAGGGTTTTCTTGGGAGCCTCAGCAAAGGTACACCTGATTTTACTACAGCGGTCTTAACCCTTTCAGAAGAACACTGTACTACTACTTTTTCCTGAGAGGGAAACTTCTTATAAATGTGGCTGTCTGCAGGACTGAGCCCTTTCCAGGCTCTGAGTGTGTTTCTGGGCTTCTCTGCGAACTTCCATGGCCTGCCTAGAGGTTTCTTATCTAAGCTACTTCCTCATCTGGCTTTCTGGCTGGGTACTGGCTGAGAACATGATGGTTCCAGAGCCAGAAGCCACATACTCAGTTGTCAGGTTCCAGTTCTTGGCTGTTCTCAGTGTGTCCTTACAAGCCTCACTGGGCACACGTGGTAGGCACATTTGATGACCAGTTCTTTAAACCGATGGGCTCAGAGGTAGAAACAGAAACTCTGTAGAAATGTTTCCTGCTGGCCATGGGGAGAGTATCAGTGGTGTAAGAAGGAAGGCTCGGAAATAATGAGACTCCTGCTAGAAGATATGGCAGTCTGTATAGCTCTGAGACGTTAGGTTTTTCTCTTGCAGATGGATAGCTGCACTTGCCTTTGGCTTTTGCAGTTATGAGTCTGAACTAGGGAATAAATAAACTAGGCATGGAGGAGAGTAAGAGGGAAGGATAGTTGGCTCATCATGGAAGTATCTGGAGAAAGTCTGATTTTTCTCTTCTCATCTTGGAGAGGAGAGGGCAGAGAAGATGCTGGAAGGATTCCTGACACTTTCGATGACTTGTGAAATGCTGCTTCTCTCTCTTTCTTTTGCTGTTCTGTTATGTGGACAAAATGGCCCTTCATCTAAGGAACAAGAAAGGAAGTTAAAACTTGTATAAATGGCTATTTTATATAAGTAACAGAAACGATTAGCTACCTAATGTTTCTGTAGATACAATCATTTAAAAGTCTGTTTTGCATTAATCCCAGTGTTGTTAGTGATTTCCTATTGAAATCTTTTGGTTTTATTATCAGCTCTCATTTCACCTAAGTTTAAGAGACAGATTGCCAGGTATAGTAGCCCACATGGAAAACGCCAGTGTTCGGTAGGCTGAGTCAAGAATATAGCCACCAATTGGATTTTGGCCTGAGTGACACAGTGAATTCTAGCCCAGCCTGTACTACAGAATGAGACCCCGTCTCACAGAATGAAAGACAAAACCCCAAAGCAAATGAAACGAACAAGTAGAAACAAAAACCAGAAACCTTTGCATAATGGAGATTATGTGTGATTTGAGTATTGACAAGTGACAAGGAAGAGCCAGGTGGGTAGACTAAAGGATGACCTTCCTCTAGAAAGGGCTTGGGGGAGGCTCTCAGGAGCAGCTGAGTGTGCTGTTCATTTTGCAAACCGTTCCTCAGATGGACAAGGGAAGTGACAGCAGAAGGCACCTGAATATAGTTCCCACAGACCTGTGTTAGCCCTCTGAGTCTCCTCTCATTGTGGCTGGTTTTACTGGTGACAGAGTCCGTTGTGGCTTCAGTGTGAGAAACCTCCATTTGTTATTAGCTGAGGACTCACCTCTCTTATCTTTATTATTGGGCCTGCAGTCATAAAAATTACTAATAACCCATCATGGCGGCATGTGTGATAATGCTTCCCCTGTGCTCCAGAATAATTCTGCTTGGATATGTGAACTTTTGGGCTGATCTTCTGATACTGTTGGCTTGTGGGAAGGACTTTAGAAACTGAGATTGGATCTTTTGGGGTCCAGCTCTTTCCTACCATAGCCACTTACTTCTCTGCTTCTCATTTGCAGATCTGATCTCTCCTGAGCATCTCACCACATCTCCATTCTTGGGACGTTGAATCCAGCAGTTGGACTACTTTGTTCTTGGAATTTTGGGTGTCTTCTCTTTCGACCTTTTCCACTTCCCTTCATCCCTTCCCCCTCCCAAGAACTCCTGAAGACTGTGGGATTACCATGGAGTCCAGGGAAATTTTAAGCAGCTCCAGGCAAAGAGGGAGCGAGTCAGAATTCCTTCCAGGCTCCTCATCCAAGTCCCCAGCCGCCCCTGGCTGTTCAGGAGAGCCCTTGAAAGGCATCTCCGTGGGTGGAGAACGCATGGAACCAGAAGAGGAGGATGAATTGGGCTCAGGACGAGATGTGGATTGCAACTCTAATGCAGACAGTGAGAAATGGGTGGCTGGAGATGGCTTGGAAGAACAGGAGTTCTCCATCAAAGAGGCCAACTTCACTGAGGGGAGTTTGAAGCTGAAGATTCAGACCACAAAGCGGGCTAAGAAACCCCCCAAAAACCTGGAGAACTATATATGCCCCCCTGAGATCAAGATCACCATAAAGCAGTCTGGGGACCAGAAGGTGTCCCGTGCTGGGAAAAATAGCAAAGCTACAAAAGAAGAAGAAAGAAACCACTCCAAAAAGAAGGTAGGAAACTGTGCCCTGCAGGTTTGGCTTTGTTTCTGTTTCTGCCGTTCTCTCACTAGCTTTTAAAGGTCAATTTACTTTTGAATCACCAGCCTCTTTGATGGAATATTTAGGGCCTATGTGGCCAAGTCTCTGGTATAATGTATGTAATGCTGAGTTGGTCATTTTGTATTTTATACTCACCTAGGAAACAAGCTACTGGGAAACGATTTGGGAGCACATCCTGCTACTGGGGTGACAGCCTACAGGCCAGGTCAGCCAAGGCCTGCAAACGTTGGAGATGTGTTTTTCGGTTTGTTTTCATCTTGACGTTTGCGTCTGTTCCCTCAGCTGGTCAGTCAGGGCAGTCAGGGGAGTCACAATCAACTCCTGGGTTCATTTGTTAGTGTTTTAGGTCTTTCTGAGGTGAATGCTCTGAGGAAGCCCTGTGTTCATCGTGACAGAGGCTTCTGTAGGACCCACAGATAGTCATCCTGAAAGCAAGTCATCAGAGCAATATTAGAGGGGGAACTACAGAAGGTGAGGGTCTGGGGTACAACTGACTGAATCACAGCCCGAGACATGGTGATGGTGGAGCTTTAAGGCTGTGTGGGAAGTGAATCTGGCCTACTAGCCTGCTAGATGTCACACACAGGCATGCAGATAAAGGTGTTTGGTAGTATCAGTTCGTTGGGAATGAATGGGTCCATATTTTTATTGAACTATTTTGTGTGTGTGTGTGTGTGTGTGTGTGTGTGTGTGTGTGTGTGTGTGTGTGTGTGTGTGTGTGAATTATAGTGACCTCCCTTCTGGGGATGGGTATGATACTCAGTCTGTGATAGCAGAAGACTGACCCAGTCCAGAAAGCTTTGGCCTTCAGGAATTTTCATGGCTTGGGGATGGCTCTGAAAGGAACTTTTATTGACCAAGTTTTTGAGTTCAGGTGATAGGTACTAATCAGGTTCTGTCTGCCTTTCGCTTATGTGCGGTTATTTATGTGTGCTAGTTGTGGTGTAACAACTTAAAGTGGTCTAACCGTGCCCTGGAATGTTCCTGTCACGAGTGGTCCTCTGAGCTTCTTTGTATTCATTCAATGAAATGAGCAGAAACCATGGTCCTTCTTCAGAGCAGAGCTGTGTCTGTCCTCATGGAGAGTGCTTACAGTGATCGTTTGCATTGAAAACTAGAGATATGAGCCTGCAGAAGCCTTGTTCAAGCGTGACAACTCCTCACAGTTGGCTCAACAAGCTTGTCCTGTGTTTAAAACTGAAGCTTCTTCATCCAGGAGCTGCCTGGATTCCAGGAAACCAGGACAGTTGACTCACTGCTGGGTTAGTATTTGGGGACAGAGAGGAGTGATGTTGGCTTCATTCGCCAGAGCATGTGGGTCACACACTCCCCTCCTCCCATTACAACTTTGCAGTGGTTAATGAGTTCTCTGTTTTGAAAACAAAGGTTATCTTCATACCTGACAGGAACTTTTGAGTCACTTATAAAGTGACATTGTTGCTTTCGAGTTGGGTGTCTTCAGCTTTGAAAATGAGTACTGTTCTCTCTGACCATTGAGGTGGCCCAGTTCTTTGTGTGCTCTTGATGCCTGTGTGGAGGTGGGGTGGGGTGGGGTGAGGTGGGGTGGGGTTGGGGAATGGGGTATCCTGGATGGTGATTACTTTCTCTCCATTCCCTCCATACTGGGATTTGAGTAGCAGCTCACAGTTTCGGTGTTCAACCCCAAATTTAGTCCAAACTGAAGTGTGAATGAGGTCAGCCATTCTCATCCAGGAAGAGAGGTGTTTTTGTTAGAAAGAAAGATGAAATCCCTTATTTGAACATGTGGTTTGCCTCGTGTGGTAAGCATTTTTATGCCCTACAGTTGGAAGGAGTGGAAAAGAAGGGGGGCAGATTCCAATGCACAGTCGTGTTTTATATCACCATGCTGGAATAGCTTATAAAATGTTTTAGCTCTTAGAAGCTGGTTTAATACTGTATATCTGCATCTTTTCTACATTTACTCACACTGAAAGTTGTTACTTTCCAGGAATGAACGAATAAAGTTATTAGCGTGGGGCTGTAATTCCTTGCTGGATGACAAGAACATTCTCTTATCTCTGTTGGATTAGAATACTAACTTTATTACCCTTCAAATTCCTGTCATTTTGCAGAGATGGGCCAAAAGCTGAAGTTGAGGCTGTGTGTGTGTGGAAATCCTGCTTGTCGTTTGTATGGACAAATTCAGTGATGTGCACTTGCAGAATTTACCTTAAATAAATCAGAACGATGTGATGAGTGACAGGGACAGAGAAAGGATGGAGACAGTGGCTTCTGAGTCACAGATTGGTACCTATTTCTGAGATCTAGTCTTGACTCTCTTAGTGAAGTGAGCCCTCTTTTGAAGATGTGTGCATAGAGCCGCCACTAGCAACCAAGTCCTACTCTAGAAATTGCCAAAGGCCGCGTGGACCTGGTCCTTGAATGGGTGGAGCCTTCTTCTTGGGGGCATTTGGATGGATGTTCTGACATTGGGCAAGGGTTGGCAACCACAGCCTGTGGGCCAAATCCAGCCTCCTTCCTGTTTTTCTACAGCCCACGCACAAAAATTGGTTTTTACATTTCTAAAAAGATTTTTAGAAAAAAATCAAAGAAATGGAAATATTTTGAAGTATGTTAAGCTTCTTTGAAATTCAAATTTCAGTGTCCATAAATAAAGTTCTAATGGAGTGAGGCCAAGTCCACTTGATTACATTTTGTCTGTGACTGCTTTAATATTGCAATGGCTAAGTCGGGCAGCTGTCACCTTGACACTGTGGCCTGTAGCGCTTAAACTGTTTACTAACCAGGTCTTATACAGAATGTTTCAGGAGAAAGCCCAGTCAGTAAAGAGCTTGTCATGCATCCACAACGATCTGCCTTTGGATCCTGGAACCTACGTTAAAAATAATAATAATAATAAGACAGTGTGTCTGGTATATCAGCAGTCCTGCCACCAAGGAGGTGGAGACAGGAAGGTGGCTGGGGCTTCCTGGACAGCTAGTCTTGCTCAACTCCAGGTCTAGAGAAAGACCCTCCTGCCTCTCAAAACTAAAAGCATTTGATGTCAGTCTCTGACTTCCTGTACCTGCACACAGTTGCCCCTCCTCCTGAAATGTATATGAAGTTGACTTAGGAGAAGACAAGTTTCAGTCTATCTAGGGTATTGTTTCATTTTGGTTGTTTTGAGTGACTCGGGATTCAAGACTGGAGGGTGGCAGAAGTTGATTGTTACAGTATGTTCCTTTATTTTTAAGCAAAGGGATTAATAGTTTGTTCAGGTGGTTGGTGACAGCCTTAGGCAAAGAGACCTTAGATTGGGCTCCACTTGGTTTTCTGTGTTTGAAAAGGAAAGCTCCCTGGGAAAATCATAACGTGACTTGCCCATCACAAGCACATTTTTACTGTGTTCATAGTAGTTACACATGGTCTTCAGCTTTGGGATGATGAGATGGATGGCCAGTGTTCTGTAGCACTTTCATTCCAAATTTCAAATGTAAGAACTAACTCTCCAAACTAGAGAGCATTTGTCGGGGAACATAGTCACTTCGATGGAAGAACTCACGGAAAGAGCATCCCACAGTCTCCAGGCTGATGGACTTTCCTGACAAGTGTAGGGAATTAGCATAGGGGTGGATGGCTTTCCTGAGAGGGCCGGTGACAGTCGGTTCATGGAAAGTGTGAAGGCAGTGTTTTGTGGGTGTAGAGCCTCAGAACATCCTGCCAGGGCTTTGCAGAGAGATGGCAGACAAGTGCCTTGTTTTCCTGCCAGAGCACCAACACTGTCGCGTCTTAAAGTTACTTGGGTCAGGAACATAGTAACTTGTGCTTGGTCCGGCTTTCTTGCAGGTCAGTCAATAAAAACAGCGGAGAACAGGAAGACAAATCTCTAGAGACGAGTTCAAGTTCAAAACACATCTAAGGCTAGAAGCTTTGACAGGGACAGATCTGAGGACACTCTCAGCTCAGCGCTTAGCGTCTATGAGTGAAGACGGGGTGAGAGACACTGGTCTAAATTCAACCACAGGAAAAGGGGTGGGGCACCCCAGACACACTTACTCCACTGCCAAGTGGCTCTGTTTATTTGGATGCGTATTGTACACTTTGCTGAAGCCCAGTCTGTAGCGTGAATCTTAGAGTCTTATTAATAAAATCAAACCCGGGGCCAGTTATTGGGGTGAAATGCTGGATGGTCAGAGAGACAGAACAAGCCACAGCTATCTCACCTCCCCGGATCCTCAGCTGGTCCTGTTTCCTCAGACTGGAAGCTTCTGTGTCCTCATCCCAGTGGCTCTCAGCGGAACTGCTGCTCGAACCTGAAGTTTAACCAGCTAAAAGCTTAACCAGCCAAATGCTTAACCAGTCAAATGCCTAACCAGCCACATGCCTAACCAGCCAAATGCCTTTAGTTTCTGGTCCTCACGCTTTATATATCTTTCTGCTTTCTACCACCACTCCCTGGGATTAAAGGCTTGCTTTTTGGGATTAAAGGTGTGAGTCACCATGCTTAGCTGTATCCTTGAACACATGGATTTCTGCCTCTGGAATGCTAGGATTAAAGGCGTGTGCTACCACTGCCTAACTTCTATGTTTAATATTGTGGCTGCTCTGTCTCTGACCCCAGATAAGTTTATTAGCATGCACAATATTTGGGGGAATACAATACCACCACACCAGTTTCCTCATCTGGCAAATCTAGATGAAAATTTCTACATGATGTAACTTGAAAGACTAGGGGGAAATGGCTCATTTATTTCCGCACATGTCATTGTAAGAGTTCTGATATTGAGTTGCATCACCTGCTAGTCCTCTATTGGCTGACTGGCTTGGAGTCACCTTCTTTGCCAGCCCCTCTGACAGATCTTGCCTGTAAATATTCATTGAGAGAGGAAGATATCATGGTTTGGATTGCTTTGAAGGAGCAGGAGCTAGAGCGGGTAAGCTGCCTTTGAAGCTGGTTCTGTTATGCTCTAAAGCTGATGTATTGCAGTCCC